GACAGCACCCGGATGCGTGGCTGGTGGGGCAGAAGGGAGTTAGGAAGCGATTCGCCCCCTGCCCGCGCTATTTTAAGGCCCAAGAGGGGTCTTCTAGAGATCTCTTGGAGGGCGATTCCCCAGGCGTTCCGGCCTCCTTCGTTGCGGAAAAAATAACCGTTTAGGAGAATTATGCCGTCATTGCGACATCAGCTAGGGGCGGGTTTGTTGTTACTTAGGGGCAGGCTGATCTTGGTCTCCACGGAGCAGAAATGGCTGAAGAGAGGAGCCGGAGGGCAGTGGTGCAACTTCCCCCACCCGTGATTTTGCGGGGCTGCAGCACGTTCTAGCGCTCCTGGAACCAAATGCTTAGTGGACGTAGGGAACGCATATGGTTATGCAGTGCCGTGCTTTGAACCTTTGTCTGTCAAAAACATAAGCCTGAATCCTGTTGAGCACTAAAAAGGCCATGAGAGCACCCTGAACTCTGCCAGGAGCTGTCAGTGGCGGCACGTTACTCTCCAAGCTTGGCTCCAGGCTGGGTCAAACATGAGAGGAGGGCAGCTTCCCTAGGGGGAAAGCCATCACGGTGGTGGACCAACAACAAGCCCCCTCGGCCTTGTGACGTGCTTGGCTGGAAGGTTCTGAGGAAATAACTCCTTGCCACCAAACAGCCCAAAGATGCGTGGGGTGGTTCTGTAATTCAGCTCTCCCCCTTAGGAAGGATAGCAGAGCAGTATATGTGCACTTTGCTTGTCCTTTTCAGAGCCAGGCTTAGGTAGCTGGGCTCTCCCCTTCTATTTCTGTAAGCAGAAACCCATAGATGACAGCAGTTGTGAAATGCTTGGCCATGCGTTCTGCCACACAGGAGCTCTGGTCCAACAAACGTTGTGCAATGCTTCTCTGTAGGCAGTGGAGCAGCCCTGCTGGGTGCAACTCCGTACTCAGAATAACACGTGCTGCTTGCAAGAATCTGAGAGGAAGGCAACATGAGCTATAGGAGAATTTGCTTAAAGCCCACAAGAGCTCAATCCACTTCTGTCCCAAATCCTTCAGTCTGTGCAGATGGGGGGGGATGACAGACTTGCCTGGTGGTCTCTCTCCTGACTGGCTCTATAATCTGGTAGCGCTAAAACCTTTATGTCCTAGTTTGAGGTAAAACAGAACAAAATTTCAGTAATTTTGCTTTTCAGTGGAGCCTCTTCTAACTCTGAAATTAACAGCATATTTTTTAGACAGTGTCAGCTTCTAGCAGATAAGGTCTGCTGTTTATTGTGAATACCAAGGAATGGTATTCAGAGTGGCTCATGCTTACATGCTTACAATTATTGCTCTAACAACCCAGGTCAGCTAACTTTGTTATGCTCCAGGTTGGAGGGTTGGAAGCAGAAAAGTGTAGAGGAGTCACACCTGTGGAGAGGAGCAGACAGGACAGGTGACGCAAAACTGACCAACAGGGTATTCCACCCCATCTGCCTTCATGCTCATTATAAAAGCTGAGGGATCAAACGGGTCAGCCTCTTTGTTTAGTGGCCGGTGTCCAAGGAGGACTGTTTGTTTGCCTTTGATCCTGGTCTGTGCATTCCTGAATCCAGATCCAGAATTTGGTTTCCATCCATCACTGAGTCCAGTCTGGGACTTTCCCAGTGCCTGCCGGTGACATGATCATCATTCTGGGAGCTTGGTGTGGTTTTGTGTATATTGTATACATTTCATTATTTTCTTCTTATTATTTTTTTATTATCAATAATATTAAAGAAGTTTAGTTTCTTTTTCAACCTGGAAGTTCTCTCTTCCTCTCATTCTCTCTCCTCTCCTCTGGTGGGAGGTAGGTCAAAGAGAGCATCTGTCGTTCATTCAGTGGCTGGTCCAGCCCAAACCACAACAAGAGTGATCAACTGTGTGTCAGTACATGAATTGCTTTAATTTAGTCACTTGAGAAAGAGTTCAAACCGAACTCTAGGAATGACAGTTTCCCTGGCAAAGGTTAGACAAAAATACTTTTATCCATAGGACTGGTAAAATTTTTCCATGCAGATGGGGTTTTTCTGCCTTTCTTTCCACCTTTTGTCTGCCCCGTCTATTTAGAGCCCTTGGGAACGAATCATTTTGTATCCTCTGTTTTCAGCCCCAAGCACAGTAGGACCCTGTTCTGGATCACTCACTGAGCCCTACTAAAGGAGAGCATGACTCTTGGTACTAAAACATCTGGGACAGGACAGCCAAAGGCTGTGTGCTGTTCTGTTCCATGCAGAGCAACCCTATGGAAAACCTCCACAACCAGTCCCACCTCTTGCGTTCTGGCTTATTAGGAGAGAAAAAAGAGAAGGCGGATCATACAGCAAATCTCATTTGGAGGTTTGAGGAGACCCCTTCATTTTGCAAGAAATAAAACAGCCAAAAGAATACTCACCTTAAGACAGACACCTCAGGCAGAGAGAAAGTCATGGGGGTGGTTAGCTCAAAAGCCGAAAACATTAAAAAACACTTCACCACAGACACGCTTCTAGTTATGTGTCACTGGTAAGATAGTTTCTAGTGAACATCTGTGCAGGAAGGCAAGCGTCAGTGTAACACAGCAGCTGGCAGAAGTGCAAAGGACACCAGATCTGGGCTACCAAGCTGCCTTACTGGTGTAGTCAATATACTTGCCAATAGGCTGGCAGGCTACCTTTGCGTCAGTGAGCGTGACCACTTCTCTGCAACACATCATGCCCGGGCTGCCTGGTGCTCATCAGCCAGCACAGAGCCACCAGGCCCGCAGCAGGGAGCATGGTGACCAACAGTGGGCCCAGAAGGAGGTGGATTTATTTTATACTAAGGTTAAGTTTAAAGCTGGTAGGAAGAGGTTTAAACTAGAAATGACAACACAGCAGGGCCGAAACAATCTAGGAGAGTTCCAGAGCACACTGATGACAACTCCCTGGCACAGGTGATTGAGGAGCTAACAAGGAAGGGTGCTCTTCTGGACCTCATGCTTACAAATAAGTACGAAGTGGGTGGGGACACGAAGGCGTTGGGTGTAGTGACCGTGAGATGGTGGAGTTCAGGATCCTAAGAGGGTAAGTGGGGCAAAGGCAGGACCACAACTCTGATTTTGAAGAGCAGGCTTTGGCCTCTTTGGAGATTTGCTTGAGTTATGGTCCCAGAGAGCGTAGGGGTCCAAGAAGAGCTGGCGGGCTTTCAAAGATCACCTCCTCCAAGCTCAGGGAAGGTCCATCCCAACAAGTAGGAAACCAAGCACGGGCAACTGGAGAGGCAGACTCTTCTCACTAGTAGTCACTGACAGGACAAGAGGCACAAATTGAAACACATCATATTCCATCTGAACACAAGAATTTTTTGGTTTTTTTTATTGTGAGGGTGCTCAAAAACTGGAGCAGGTTGCCCAGGGAGGTTTTGGAGTCTCCATCCATGGAAATATTCAAAACCCAGCTGGACACCATCCTTGGCAACCTGGTCTAGCTCACCTGGCTTGATGGAGATTGGACTAAATGATCACAAGAGGTCCCAGCCAACTTCATTGATTCTGTGAAATATTTCTTAGATGTCTTCTCAAATGCAAAAAGAGGCACAGAGCTCCAGAAAGCTTGATGCATGGAGTAGGAAGGCAAGGACACAAACTCCCTCTGTGTCCCTGAGGGGCTGGGACTGTGCTGGGAAGACAGATCTGAGCATCTTCTCTGTTACTATCAGGGACATACACCTTCCTTCCAGATTCATTTTAAGGCAGCATTTACAGTGTCTGTTCCACCACTGATGAACAATTTTGCTCTGTTTGTTTCACAAAGAGACACTTAAAATCTCACTCATATTTTTTTAATCGTCATTCCAATTGCCAACGCCTGAGTATTATCCAGCAGTGACTGAACAAGTCCTATTTGCTGTGAAGGTGACCTGCAAAGCAAAACAGTTTTTTCTCCCCTCCTCCTTTATAACGTATAAAGAAACTATAATTATTATTACTTTATTTTGTTTTTCTAGCGTCTTCTTTCCTGCTTCCTTTTAAACTCAGAACCATAGGGTTATCAAGTCCCAGCTGTGGATGACGGAAGCACCAGCTTTCTGACCTCCTCACTAGAGGTGTAGTCAGTCTTTCGCAAACAGGAGGAGCACAGAGGGCTTTGATGCAGGTGTATCTTCAGCCACAAAAGCTTCCAGAAGACTCGCAAATACCCTATAACAACGGGTAGGCCTAAAAAGAAGTCCGGACGCCATGACAGCAATATGCAATGGGAAGAGAGAAGAGAAAGATGCATTATCAGTATCTAGAGTTCCTGCAATAACCTGGTCTTAAAAAAAATGTTAATGAGCACTGACTGCACGAGTGGGTCACGCAGAGAGACAGCACCAAAACTTTGCTCGTGCAGGTCACAGGAGCACCAGGGAGCGTGTCAAATAAACTGTGTGACTGCAGCCAGAGTGGGAGCCTTTCCATCACTGAGGGAGCTGAATGTCTGCGTGCGACTCAGTCAGTGTCTTACCACACAAGCCAAATTTAGCCCTCAATGAATGTCTGCAGCAGGGGTTCCACTGATGAAGTTAAATCTGTTTCCAAGCTCATTTGCCTTCTGCAGAGCATTTTTCTTCTGTGTGCAAGATATAAGTGTTTGTAGGCTAAGACTCATGGGGAGGTTGCAGTCCAAAGCAAAATCAGGGTTGCGTTGTTAAAAGAGTCTGGCAAAAATCCCATGCATCTCAGCAGGGCTGGGATTTCACCCTCTGGCTTTAATGGAGGTACGCCAGCAGAGTCATCGGTCCAAACTCCCCCTTTTCTTTCAGTACTACTGGAGTCCCAGAGCAGATCTTCTTGCAAGAAATCTGCCAGCAAGAGCAAGAGCTGGTGTTTAATATTTTATTGTACACAGAGATTAAAAATGGATGGAAGCCCCCAAACAACACCTTTAACCAAGCCTTACCAGGTCATTACCATACGTCTGACAAGCTCCTAAATTAGGCTACAGGTTCAGTCAGCTGTTTTTTAACATTGATGACACTTCAGCTCCCTGATGACACTTCAACACTCATTTAACAAGCTGGCAGCCAGTCTGGCATTCTGGAGACCCAAGAAAACGGTGTTTTGGGGCCTTCAGCATTTCTTGAGCACACCATATTCAGCCATCGGGGTCAGGATTTCCCCAAGGAAATATGAAGCCACACAGGCTTGGGAGGAACATCAGCCCAGAAGTCAGTGGGACAGATGCGGCGGGCGATCCCCGCTCTGTTGTGGTCGAGGGTAATTTCATGCATCTAGTCCTGCTCCTGGCTCAGGAACGCACATTTGAACTGCCTTCTGTGTCCCCCTGCCTCAGAGTACCTGCATGATGCCAGAAGCAGACCGGACTGCCAGGTGTCTGACATTGGGATTTCAGACAGCTTTGTCTGCTGACCTAGCTGTTAGCTGAGAAAGCTGACTGCAAGACAGAGTACCAGGGCACCATGATGTACCACAGCAAAAAAAAAAAAAAAAAAAAAAAAATAGCAATGTAAACATTCTGAATTTGCGGCATTCTTTCCAAAGGAGCCGCGTACATGTCCTGCAGCCTTTTCTTCCCAGGCTCCACACATTTTAGCAGATGTTTTCATCAGAGGGGCCAGTCCTGCAAGGCGTTTATGGAAGTTCTTTACTTCCCTCTTTTGATTAATCCCACGCATGTCAGTAGGATAACTTACATTAAATCCCTGATGTGGGGAAATTCTAGGGCAACTTTCCTGCTCAGCTGCGAATCTGGGCTTGGACCAGAGGAATTTGGGTCTAAATTTGCCCCATGCAGATGGACAGCGTAGGAGCTAGTGCTTCTTCATCGTTTTCCATTAGAGCTCCAAATGACTATGCACAACAAGTCTCAAAGATTTGTGGGCTTACAGCCCACTAACACTCAAAATTGCTGTTTCTTGGGTCTCTAGCGAGTGCTGTAGCAAAAACCAGACCTCACAGCCTTGCTCCTTCATCAGACTGATCTTTTCTTAAAAGGTTTAACAAGTGCAGATGGGGGGATTAGCACTTTCCCACTGCAGCTATGCCAGAAAAAAAACCACTCTTCACGAGGACACCAGTCACAGTGGCCTAAACCAGTTCAGTAAATCCTGCTTACGTGGGGAAAATAGACACCAGCTTTACACCAACAAAACCATGGAGTGATCCCTTAAACTAGTTCTGCTGCTGTGGTTGGTTGGCTGCTACAAGAGACAAACGCTTCAAGTCAGAGGACGAAGGCAGTTCCACTGGGGCACAGAGCTCTGCAGGGATCTCTGCCTTTCCCCCGAGTGAGCCGAGCCACTTGTCTCACACGGGTGGCTCAGCGCAGGGCAGTCAGCACTAGGGAATTGGCTGAAGTGGCTCAGAAACACTTAGAATACCAGCAAGGTGAGCCCTTTTTGCCATCGGTTTCAGCCAGGGGAGGCAACATTTCAAAAGGCAAGTGCCTTCTTTTGCCAGCCCTGTCTCGGCCAGGGGCGATTCCCACTGGTGAGACCACGACTTTGTCCCATGACACCCCCATGGCAGCAACACATGCCCTTAGAGATGAGGAGGATCTCTTAACACTCTCCAGCCCAGGAAGGGTTTTGCTTCTCACCTCTTCTCCAGTGCCTGGAGGAGGTATGCAGACATACCACATCACCCTGTCTGCCGGCTGGCTCCACAAAGGCTAATGGGCTGGAAGTTCAGTGTTGGTCTTGCATCATCTAATGCTGACCTTCAAAAGAAAACGAACGGATTTATGTCGAGGAAGGAGGCTTTGAAGATTTAATTTGGTTTGGATTTATTTTTTGTAGTGGGGATTTGGGGTTTTTTTCTATGTTCTTTTTTTTTTTATTTTTGTCTTTTTTTTTCTGTAGCAGCATCTGCTTTTTTCCTGAAAGTTTGTTTGGGGTCTTAATATGGACTTCTACCTTTCTCAAATCGTAATAAGCTATAGGGTGTCTTAAAGATGGAAAAAACCCATCTTCCCACAGGTCTGTTCCCCAGGCAGAGGAACCGTGTTTTGTTCGCACTGCCGCCGAGTTGGATGAAGATGTGCTGACCCCCATCCTTGCCCAAAGTAGTCACCACCCCTCCTCCCTGACCTCCCGGCACTGCTCCATGTGTGACCGCTGCATTCCTGTTCGGCAGACGGCATGCCTGCTGTTTCGCTGGCAAGTCAGCAGCGGCTGCAACACCTGGTGGAAAAAGGGGGGGGGTGCGGTGCTGGGATGAGTAACTGTGGGAATATTAGCCCTACCCTCTGTGCTGTGCTAACAACGTGGCCGTGCTGCTGGTGATGTGGCTTATAGCTGGCAGGCACGGGGCACAGAGCAAGCTCGTATCTGCAGAAGAGCATGTAGACACAGTCTCAGTTGTTTAGCTCTGTGTTAACAGCGAAAAACAAATCCTAAGCGGGCTAAACAAATCTCATCGTGGCAAAGTGCTTCATAAATTACTAATTCAGCTTCCTGCAGACTAATAGGGAATCAAGCTGTTTACCTCAGAGTATGACACATTTTTCTTTCTTGCCTTCTCCCTGTGGCACCTGTAGATAGATTCTGATGTGCAAAGCTTTGTGTCAGTGACTAATGAGTACCTAACAGTTCTTGCAGATTTCCATAGGCTGTACATTATCACTGCTATTTGCAACATCAGGAAAGGACCTAAGAATCATCAGCCTGCGCCAAAAAGGGTCAGCAGATAAAAAAAAATGTTCTTTCGGAACACCCAACCTGGCAATGCAGCAC